GGGAAATTTATATATAAAAAACAAAAAAAACACAAGTGGACACAAATAAAAGCAAAAAATAGAATCTGGACCAAAATGAAAAACCCGTATTCTGAGAATACGTTTTCTTTACAAATTGTCATTGAAAAACGTATTCTCAGAATACGTGTTTCAATGAAAAACGTATTATGCAAATACGTTTTTCGATGAAAATTACAAAAAAAACATATTTTCAGAATACGTGTTTTTTATTTATTTCCACAACTTTTTTTTTTTTTGTTTTGTTCTTGTCCACTTCATTTTTTCTTATTTTTTTAAGTAAAAAAACCGAAAGAAGTCTAAAAAATCTAAAGAAATAATTTGAATATCTAGCATGGCTGCATGGGGATTAAATAGGCCAAATACCATGGGATTAAATATCAAGCATGTTAGTGATATCGAGAAATTATTTAAGACTTTTATAATCAAAACCATTAGGCTACGCTTTGTTTCGAGAGATTTAAAATCTCTTGAATATTCATAAGTGATATTGAGAAATTATTCATAAGAAGTGCCATTACGTGATAACTTGTTTTTTCTATTGCCAGACTATTAGGAGGCCAGAAGAGAATAACTGAATAAGAACGGTTCGCAAATAAAAATCAGGTCGTGGACGTGGCGATAGTAAGATTAGTGTGCCAAGTGGATTAATTACGTTTTATCATATGTTTTAATCAGTAATTACGTTGTTTTCAACTTGTAATGCGTGGTAGTTGGTACAGCATCAGATTTGTTTGTACTTATGATGTGTAACATTTTCAATAACTCTTGTAATGTAGTGCCTAATTATGCTCAAATTCCGGTCACAAGACTTCATTAGCATCCACTTCTTTTTTGTTTTTGTTTTTGTTTTTCCTTGCATTAATGTCATCAAGGTCAAGGCAGCAATGGCCCATGAGGTAATCAATGATATAATTAATCTCTGTTCTAAAAGACGGCCTAGGCGAATCGGCTGAAAAAATCGATCAGGCGGCTAGGCGGACCTAGGCGCTCCTAGGCTGGCTTGGGGGGCTCGGTGGCCAGGCGGCTTGGCGGCGCCTACGCGCCACCTAGGCGGGCTCGGCGGAAATTTTTTAATTTTTTTTTTCATTTTTCTAAGTACTAATTATATTATTTTGTTACCATATTTTCTTCATAATATACTAATTTTATTATTTGGGCCTTTTTTTTTTTNAACGACAGGATTTGTATTGCTCCACAAAAATATACACATCCGCGAGCTAACTAGCTCAGATACAAATCAGCTTACTAAGGTAAGAGAACCCGGAAATTATTAAGCACTTTGTCCTCGACAAAGTAACCTTAGAGTCCGGGGAGTTTGCTCTTAAGACTATACCTAAAAGGCCTAGAAGGCCAACAGACACCCAAAAAAGACTAACCACTGTCACCCGGTAGTGAAAAAATAAAAAATAAAGTATTTAAGCATGATTTCTAGGTCCCGCCTAGGCGCTAGGTGCTGGTCGAGCGCCTAGCAGGCACCTAGCGACTTCTAGAATACTGTAATTAATGCAATTCTTAGACACAAGAATTAAAAGAGGGTTTGACTTGATTAGAAGTTGTTCATTAGATGCACAATAATTAAAAGAGGGTTTGACTTAATTTAGAAAAATACTACGGTCCCGTAATGGGATGGTTCCTTTATTATTTCAACCAATTAGATTACACCACGTGTATAGTTAATATACAACTTCCCTGTATCTAAAGACCAGTAATAAATTGTGAATATCTAACTATCTAGAATGAAGTAACGGAATCATCCCGTTACAGGACCGTAGCGTCCCCTTAATATATATATGGTATTTCACAAATTCGTTTTAGATGGACTAACAATTAGGCTAGTTCGACTCAGTTAAACATTTTATAATTAAGAAGCTAGGTCGGCTCGTTAAACTTTTTATAAGTAAGAAAAATCTCATACACGATAACAACTACTAACCTTGAAAAAATTTGTAAGAATTTATTTACCTTTTTTGGGTTAAATATCTACGTAACAAACACTAACCTTGAAAAAATTTGTAAGAATTTATTTACCTTTTTTGGGTTAAATATCTACGTCAAATCGGATCTCAAAATTTTTCGACTCAAGTCGGTTTAAATAATCTAGTTTGGAATATGATCCCAATCAATCATAAGTTTATATAATGTGTGTATATTATTCATCAAGTAACATATCAAGTAGTCTGAAAAAAAGTTGGGTAAATATTTGTAGTAAATAAGATTTTTCATCAATAACTATACAAAATCTTATATTTTTGCATGTTGAACAGGTGATCATAGAAATTTAAATTACAGAATAATGTTATTGGGAACCCTCATTTTTTCTTGGTCCTTCAATGCATAATGAGTTGGTAGCAAGTTAGCAACAATGAAAGAATATCTAGTTGGAGTTCATATATATCGCTCCAAATTCTATCCTCAAATGTTGACCTCAAGATATCACATCAGCCCCTATAAATAAGTAGCAATCAACAAAACTGGTCTCAATTGAAATTTTTATATATGGGTGGCATAAGTTTTGGTATGGTCATTATCAATTGAGTCCTTGGACCTCAACATCAAATTTTTATAAGAATTGTGCATGAACCTGAACATGTTGACTTCAAATCGGACAGCTTGTTCTTTTTTCTCTCTTAGCCAAATTAAACCCGTTTTTTAAATATACTTATCTATCCATTTTAAGATAAGAGAATTGTTTCTATTACTTCCTCTGTGAAAAATATAATTATCGAAATGTTCATCTACACACCGTGAGCACGTTAAAACGTGTCTACACCAGTCATTTGTCGATAAAAATCTAGTATTTTATTAATTTTTATTATACTTTTATATATATATATATATATTCATAATTTTCAGAATTATCTCACTTTTTTATATTTTTTTATGTTTTTCATTTCTATTTTTAAAATGAAATAATATTTATCAAAAATTCTTTATATCCAAACACAACTACAGCTATTAAACAAAACGAGCGGCTCGTGATGAGCTCGGCTAGTTTGATAAACAAGCTGAGCTAGAGCTCATTTAGTTAACGGATCGGGCTTAGCTTAGCTTGATATACAAGGCTCGTTAAGGTTTAAAAATTTTATATAATTTTCTATAATTCGGCTTGTTAACATTGATAAATGAGTGAAATTGAGCATGCCTATTGACTAATTAATTTAGTTAACGAGTCGAGCTTGACTTGACTCTTTCAGGGCTCGAGTTTTACCTCTAAGTATCATAAGTTCCAACTTGGCTCATTTACTCTTTTATTGACAACCTAAAAAATGGAAAAATGCGTACGTCCGATCTATTCTTACAAAATAAGGCACCTCATCAATATTATTAATTTATTACACATTAAGGATATAAGTATAGTTTTTGGAATGGTGGGGAATGGGGATGAATCCAGTATTAATGATATGCCCATAAATGTATGCCACTATAGAGAGATAGGATCAATAAAAAGCATTATAAGGGGTTCAAAAATATATTTGTGGTGGACAAAGAATTGTGAGTATGGAGAAGATGGACTTTTGTGTGGCTAAAGAGCTACCTCTTCACATTGTGGATTTCTGATATATCTTCTATGAAAGTTTGATAACAAGTAAAATTGTTTTAATTTTTAAAATTTATTTATTATTTAAATTGACAAAGTGTTTTCTTACTATAATATTCCTAATATGTATGATTTAAAACTTCAAATCTATATGGAACCGAAAAATAAAAAATCCACATATCAAACTACCAAATATAAAAAATTAATACTTAAGCTCAAGAATCTGGTAGTCTTCTTATGGAGTCATTCATCACTTAATATAATGACACGTGCCCAAAATGTATTTATTGTAGGACACGCGTCAACACACTATTTGTGAATAAGTTTGGGTGACAATAAATCGTGTCATTCGATGACTACATAGCAAAACTGGTAAGAGTACATATTTCTTTCTATTTAAAACACAAGTCTCCCCTTCGAATATTTGAATTCTTTCAACTTATTCTAGAGCAGTCCCACATGAACTTGTACAGAATATGAATGGCATTGACAAGACATCACAATAGAGCACACAAACAGTATCAGAAACTCAGACCGTATAATCCATATAGCCCACTGAAAATCACGTTACACTAGTGATTGTCTAGATCTGCCACTTTTTTCTAGTAATAAATAACTAAATATGTACTTATTGTTTAGTAGGGCCCGAAACATTCCTATATTCCAAATCAATATGGCACTGGTTTCGATATTTTCAATTTTCATGGTCCTAGTTGCTTTCTTTGTTTCTTCTCATTCAGTTATTTGGTCCATAAGATTCTAACACAAAAGCATCAAAACTACGGCTGCAAATTTCGAGCTCGATTTCTGGCTCGTTAAAGGCTCGAGCTCGAGTTCGGCTCGTTTACAGGCCTTAATGTGTTCGACATAAGCTTTCGAACAATGAAACTAAGGAAATTGCAGTTGCTAGGAATGATTAACATAACAATACACGGAGAAAAAGAATCCGGTTTTTACAGTAATAATCTTCATTTAGATGTACTCAAAGGCATGCTTGCAAGACCCTTCTGAACAATTAAACTCCAAAAAAACATCACATCAAAAGCAGTGATCTTTCTTTTTTTTCTTTCCCGGGATTTGATGATAAAAGAAACACGCTCATCCACCAAAAAAAAATACGACCATCCATTCGAACTTTTGAGGAGTGAAAATACAGTAAAGCCGAACCACAACACAGACACATGGAAAGGAAAAGAAAGGAAAAGAAAGGGAAAAAAAAGCTCATACACAAACATGCATTCTCTCTCGATGGCACTGAGACCCGTAACTGTATGGTTTGATCATAATTTGCCGGTCTCAGAAAAAACCAACTCCTGCCATCATCTACTCAAGATGCCTTCTCTGTATCTGCATTTTTGTGCATAAGCTTAATAATTAGTTCTTAAACAATATTATGCGTAACGGAGTATTGACCTTGCATAGGATCATACACTTCATAACCGTTATTATTTTCTACAAGACCGTTTACTAATATGTTTTACTAATATGTTTCAACAAATTCCATTGCATACCATTTCTCTAAGGAAACAGATGCTTTTCACGCAGTTCAATAAAACATCAATCATCGATGTTCCGAAAGTATAATTTATAGGAGTGTTCACCAAATATTCCATTTAATCTAATTATTACACACTCTCCTATGGTTTCATGATATTTAGACTCATGCAACTAATAAGGCCATAAAAGGAACTTAATATTTTAACATCGAATAAACAGGCCTATTTGTGCGGGACAAAAGAGAAGCGAAGACTACCAATCAACGAAGTAGCATGCCGTATCATAAAGATAAGCTTGGCCACTATTTCTCTTCGTACGCCAAATCAAAAGAATTATAGTACTCCCACAAAAATAAATTGTCTTAGTATGCCATATCAAAAGTGAATTACAGTACCTACACAAAATAAACGGTCTTTTAGACTACAGTGAGAGATTTACTAAGATGTCCAGTAAGAAGAATGTAAAGATCATTCGGGAATCAATCGTTTATGACAGTTCAACAAGATCTACATTCAGCCCAAAGTACATTTGGGATAATTTTGCTTCATTGTCAGGGAGTCAGGATACACACACTACAAACTAAAGAATTGCTTTCGAGGAATCCTCATCATCCCAAAAGTATAATCCTAAAATAAAAATCTTATGACAAAAGTTTGTACCACTCCCCATAAACTCAGTAACACATATCATCACAATAAATGGACTTGTTAATCTTCCCTTGCACCCAAGCTAACTGTAGATGCCATAGAGAATATTAGTTCTCCAGCAATGAACTTTTGAAAATATCATTTCTTACAATCACAAGTATCTTAAGTTTGCATCAGCTCCTACTCACATCAAGCTTTATGCTTTTGACGCAATTTGAATAAAACCAAATTCCAATGTACACTGTGAGTAAACAAATATAAGATGGAAATGAGCTTTGACACACAATTTCGGAAAACCACACAGTGCGACACACAAATGAATGATGGTCTCCAATGTTTCGGCATTATTGTGTGGAATTTGGAGAAGCAAAGATGCTACTGTCAAGCATCACTAACATCTCGGCTAAATTCCCACTAAACTCTTAACCTCACTAGGCAATCTCCTAATTTACAAATCATTCATAAAAATCCAATCTTTTCCCTTTTATCACAAAATAAAATTTCCAAACTCCATGCTACTCAAAACAATTAAGCATAAATAACCCGAATTGGAAAAGCTCAACCAATTCCAAAGATAAAACAACTGTACAATACCTGGATTCTTATCTGAAGCATCAAGATACACCGGCTCCTCCTCCTCGGGTACTGAATGCAGTCCAGATGCATCCTTATCAATCGCCTTTGCTGAGCCCGGCCCGCATTCATTGGCCCATCCATCCTTCTCGTCTAGGAACCTCACGACTATTACTGGGCACACGCAGTGGTGCACGCAGTAGTCGCTCACGCTACCCAGCCTCCCTTTGCTGCTCCTCCTGGAGGCCCCGAACCCCCTGCTCCCCATTATCACCGCACTCAGCCCTAGTCTCTCCACCTCCAAGCACAGCCTCTCCTTCATGTCGTGGTCCTTCACGATGTGGATCTTGAACGGAATACTCGCCTCGACCAGGGGCTGGGCAAGGTCGTTGGCCTTGCTGGCGGTGAAGTTGTCGAAATCGCACTCCAGTTTCCGCTGTGACAGCTCGTCGCCGCCGGCGCCCTCGACGGTGAGGTCGATGGCGCCCCAGTCGGCGCCGTAGAGGACGGAGGTAGGCCGGACGTGGAGGAGGATCACGGCGTCTCCGGGGCGGAGGTAGTTCTGGACAGCCCACTTGACGGCGAAGGCGCTCTCGTCGCTGAGATCGACGGCGATGGCGATCTTGCGGTGGGCGCCGGAGGTGGGCGTGCCGGGGGGGAATCTGGGGGAGGCAGGCTGGTGGAGGACGGCGTTAGATGGCGGGGAGAGGTCGCCCTTGCCGTGGGGTTTGCTCGGCGATGCCATGCAGGGTCGGAAGGGATTGGATTGGATCTCTTGAGGTTATTGATGGTGAGTGGTGCAATCGATTGGAAATTGGTATTAGGGATTTGATGATCTTAGGATATATTCTCGATTATGAAATTTGGCTGACCTCTTTCGATTAGAACTATGGTTTGTACTTTGTAGGAATGTGAACTCGTTGCCGTTGGCGAGCAAGAAATGTTCGGAGAGATGGCCAATTGCCGGTTCCGGTCTGGTTCGGTTATGAACCGTCGGTTGAGCGGTTCGATTTGTAAAAAAACATGAAGGGGCAAAAAGGGAAAAGAAAGGTTAGCGCCAGTTTGGCTCATTCGCGAACACTTGCCATTAAGTTTGGGCCTTTTTCAGATCAGATCTAGCTACACCTGCCGCCTGCCGCAACCCTAATTCACTTGAATTCTCTCAAAAATTGGGATTTTCCCCCCAATCTAGAAGAACAAAAAATGCCTCAGAGGCACTCGAAGAACAATAACGATTTAGCCTTCTTTACGTACGACGAGAAGCGGAAGCTAGGCTATGGCACGCAGAAGGAGAGACTCGGGAAAGACTCGATCAAGCCGTTTGATGTCTGCAGTCTCTGTTTGAAACCTTTCATCGAGCCCATGTCTTGTCTTAAGGGCCATGTTTTCTGCAAAGAGTGCATTCTCGAGTGCCTGTTGGCGCAGAAGAAAGATATTCAAAGGTTCTTTGCTTTCGTCTATTCTTCCGTCTATTCCCTTTTGTTCCTGTGTTATTATTTTGGGCTTTTAGTACTTTCTGTTATTCTTTCTTCTGTCGATTATTTTTGTAAGTATTTTGGGGTGCAGGCTATGAAAGTTTATTAGTTCTGGTATTTGAGATGGTTTGATAGCTGGTCTGGGCTGAGAGAATTTCTGTTGCAAGATTGATCTTACGGTCTACTTAGTTAATAACCTATTTCGAAAAATTGCCCATATGTATGTTTTTGTGAATCTACAGATTGTGAACAAATTGGGTGTATCAGGTTTCCTTGAAGAGCTTTATTCAAATGTCGTTGCATTGTGTAAAAATAAATGTTTTAGAGGAATAGGATCACAAGGTTGTCAGTATTTACTACTACCACTCCCACTTCCATCCCATTCTCATAATAAACAATATATAGAAATCCGACTTTCAAATGTTACTAAGTGTAATTACTGTTGTAAAGTCTGAAATGGGGCTTTTCATCCCATTTCATGCTTACAGAGAGAGAATGAGAAGACAAGAATAGTCTGCAGAAGTTGAATTGGTGTGTTGCCTTCTTGAGAACTCTTGTATTTGTTGCTCTGTAAAAGTTTATAAGCTACACTTATACACACTAATAGCTTAATTAGAAATAGTCATGATCATAACTGTGGCAATCTGGGATCATCATTTCTCATTTATGTGTTGCATCTGAGCAGCTTGTTATTCTTATTCACTCTAGGCTAACAGCCCAAGACTCAAATGAGGCTATGATCGTATTCATCTAGACAAGTCAGATACAAATTCTCTGATATCAAACTGAAGATACAATTATGCACAAAAGGTCTGTCACGCGCTTGTAGAGGATTGAATAATTGAATGGGAATAGTTGCAAAGTATTGGCTAGACTGGTGATTGTAGATTGGAGCACATCACCTTTTCTTCCATTTGTTTCGTTTTTAGAGTGAATAGTGTGAAAACAAAGTTATTTGAAGCAATAAGAATAGCTTTTGGCTGGGTAATTTGTTATGAGATGTAAATATCATTACGGTAGTTGATGCGACTCTTTTTTTAGAAGAAATAATGGTTGGAAATCAGATGAATACTGTAAATTTTGACCTTTTCAGGATTGTGATTTTTCATTCGAAAGAAATAAAAATAATTTCGTGGAAAAATTACAACTTGAGATCATCACAAGCAGGGAAGCTTACACACTAAAAGCCATCCTTTTTTCCTGCAGCATGGTGCAGTTAGTAAAATTACACAAACTTTTGCCTTTAAACCCTTTTCTAGAAGAAAAAAAAGTTTCATTTTTATCTCCAAAAGTATATCTATCTGATATCCGTAAGTTTGACCTGCAGAAAGCAAGCAGCCCACACTGCCCAACTGAAGCAAGAGAAAGAAGAAGAGGAAGAGAGGCTGATGCTGCAGAAAGCCCGAGAGCTCGAAGCTTTTGACCAGCAGAACCATGGGGCAATACCTAAGTACAACGACAAGGGCCACAACAGCACGGACAAAAATGAGTTCCACGGAGCCAACAGCGTGAAAACCACTTCATACGAAGAGGAAGCTCTTCGCACCATGAAAGCCTTTTGGCTGCCCTCGGCCACTCCTGAGGCCCCCAAGAAAGTGGCCCCACCTCCTTCCGAAACTGTCTGCCCAGAAGGCAAAGAAAAACTCCGAATGAAAAATCTTTTCCCCATTCATTTCACGGAGGATACTAGTGATAAGCAAAAAAATCGCCCGAGTTCACTCAACAAAACGTACATCTGCCCCAGCTGCAAGGTCACTTTGACCAATACGCTTTCGCTAGTGGCCTTGAGTTCATGTGGGCACGTGTTCTGCAAGAAGTGTGCGGATAAGTTCATGGCTGTGGATAAGGTGTGTTTGGTATGTGACAGGCCTTGCAAGGAAAGGAATCTCGTAGATTTGGCAAAGGGAGGGACGGGTTTTGCGGGCCATGGAGATCATTTGGAGGCAAAAGATTTCAAGCACTTAGGGAGTGGGTCGGGCCTTGGGCTTGTTAGGCCTGCCATGAAAACCTGATCTTGAGACGGGTTTTTTTTCTGGTTTGTTCGAGATGTAGTGTAAACCCTCTTTCTTTCTTTTTTTTTTTTTTNTACTTATATTTCTGAACATGCCTGCAATGTATGAATATTTATTGTTCTGGTTATCTTGCTTGTAATGTTTACAATTTGGTGAAAATCATGACGACTTTTTTAACAATCGTTATCTGTCGAGTGTATCGATTCTCATGGCAGTTAGTTTGTTGTTGCTGACGCATGTTGTTTGTATCAATTCTCAGAGCAAATAGCAATATCTGTCTATCAATTTTTATGAATTGACAGTTGAACTCAACACAACAAGATTGTACGGCTCACATTTTTAATCTGTTGGTTCTTGTTGTACATGTTTTGCAGAAGGATGTGAAACTGTGTGGGTCAAAAAGGTTGGATTTATATAAACCCTGTTACAAATAACATTAACATATATATATTCACTTTGTTATTTTGTTCTTTTAGTTTTTAATTAATCATTTCACTTTATTTTATGTAGGGATACAAAAAAATGCCCATCTGAATTTGTTTGGTCCGTATAAAAATTTGTGTAAACTAAGCCTCCAAATTATTTTATTAATTTTAAAAATTGTTATTAGGCTTTATTGTAGATTGTAATTAGCCCCAATTGCATTGACTACTTGCCATACACATGCTGATATAGAACTTTTGATAAGAAGCTTGTCACGAGCAGTCGTCCACAGTTGACCACCACAAAAAAGGTACCAAAAAATTTCAATAATTCATACAGGTCACAGTTGGTTGGCTCAATCATAGCCAAGCTGTTAGACTTTCTTTTTCATATCGATTTGAACTGATCCTGAATGATATCGCAATAATAATTGATTTCTTTATCACAAAAGTCCACGTAGAATTATTTTATTTAACAAAATCGAAATCCAAATCTTGAATGGTAGGCCGATGATTTAATGGGTTTTAAATATATGTCATAATACGGTTTTCAGTTGTTGGCCTAATATAATACATACACGGCTAAGATGCTAGATAAAATACTGATCAATAAATAAAAAAGATTAAAAAGTAAAAATAAAAGAGAGGTTAGTTAACTTGAAAATAGTAGTCATATTTATAAGTTTTTGAGGTTAAGATTTAGTGAATATAAATATTTTTTATTTTTATATATTTAATATTAAAATTTATTTATATTATTACTTTGTTAATTTGATAATACCAATGATATTGCAGATTGTACCCGTGATACAACGTAGTATGACTAAACTATTAAGAGTATGTTTGTTTATAGAAATTTTTTAAAAAAATTTAATATTTTAACTCAATCACTTTTTTTAACTTAACTTTAACTCAACCCCACTATCATCAATATTATCAATATAATTAAATAATATCAATCAATCATTTATACACACGACATCAACTTTAATTCAATATCCATCCACTCACATTATTTTAATTAACCATCACTTCAATTATCTCTCTCATACTTTTACTTCAAATCAATTTTAATTATTTCATTTTAAATATTATTTTGATACACCCACTAACAACTAACCATACCACCTCTTTCAAAATTAACTAAACCAAACTAAAAAATCCAAACAAAACAAAAAATTTCTATAAACAAACATGCTCTAAGATATTTAAGATTATGTTTGATAAACACCACAAGTTAGCATATGACTTATTTAGATTATAAACTTCTTGCACCCAAATAAGTTAAATTTGCAATACATTTTTTTTAAAACGCTGGAGCTTGTCTCACAAACTTGTCTAAGAAGCTTCTCAAAAAAGGCTGTTGAAATTTTCAATTGACTTGGCATATAAGACTCAGTTCGATAAATATAGCTGATAAATTGTCTGATAGTTGATAAGTTAATTGTGAGCTGATAAGTGAATTTTGAGCCTATATATGATAGTTTATGTGTGATAACTGAAAAGCTAGTTGATATGATAAACGTATGTAGTATAATTAGCTAATAATAACTGAAATAAAAATTTTAATGAGTTTACTTTAAATGCTACTCAAGGGAACTTATTTGAAACGGTATCCAAGCTCAAAATTTAATTAAAATAATTCGTTCTACCAAAACAAACTTATTTGCATGGCGAACTTACTTTGTTTACCAAACACACTATAAACTACCAACTAGTATCATTCTTAAACTAGATTCACAAAGATGCACTAAAAACAATAGGAACAATCCAAAAGTGAGTATAGACTGTCAAATATTTGCACAAATATGTAATGGGATAAAATTTTATTATTCTTACACACCTAACAAACTTGAAGGCATTATCATCACAAGCAGAACGAGTGCCTAAGAACACGTGGCAGCATCTTCGCCGTTCAATATCATCTTTTTTTACGCAGGCCCATCGTTAAATATTAAAATGGCGCCAATTGGTAGGCAGCCAGCCTCCATTAATATTCCCCTTTTATAAACCAGAAAAATCCGCAGCCATTATCTTCTTCGCCATTATTATCGAATAAAATCTCTAAAGCATTTGTGCATCGCAACTCAATCAACCGGACCAGAGCACCCAGGAAATCCGCTGTCCTGTCGAGAGGAGCGTTTGCGAGGACAGGAGGCGGCTGAGGACGATGGCGGAGCCGGAGAACGGGCGCGGCGGCGCGGCGGCGGAGGAGGAGGAGAGGCTGTTGGTGGAGGATGTGGCGGTGCTTGATTTCGACATGCTCTGCGCGACGGTGGCGATGCAGGCGCACAAGGGGAAATGGGGGAAATTGAACGGGGGGAACGGAGAGGATGATTTTGCTGCCGATTATTATCAATACGGCGGCGGGGTGCACAGAATGTGGGAGGGTGAGCTAGTTAATGATTGCTTGGACGATCGCCGGATCGCTCTCCAATCCACCTGGTATTCAATTCTCATCCTCATTTTCTAGTTTTTTATCATTTTGTTTTGTGGGTTCTTTTTTTTTTTTTCTTTCTTTGAGGTGCTTGTACGGTGAACTGAATTATTGTTTCTCTGTGCATAAGTGCAACTGGTGTAATTGAAAATTATATATTTGTTTTTAATTTCCTTATTATTTTGGTGAATTTCTGGTTAAAATATTGTCTGCAAATGTTGAGAATGATACCTTTTGAGAAAAGGGGAAGAAGAAAAGGAAGAAGGGAGCAAAAAAGAGTTTTCTTTTTAGCTTTATTTTGACGCAAATTTGTGGTTGCAATCACCCGTGCAAAGAGAGGTGATTTTGGCTTTCTAATGGGAGAAATGAATTTGGTAGTATTATTTATGACTAAATTTGATTTCATAATCATATCTCAAGTATTTGTATGCTTTGACTATATGCTTTTGGCATCTTTTTTAACTGTGAGAGTCTACGTTTGACTAGGGAGTTTAACCTTTTCTAGAGGTAAAGGAATTTGGTTATCTGTTGTAATTATTGTCATTTGTTGCAGCTGTCCATGCTATAGATTTGGTAAGAATATGAAACGAGCTGGCCTTGGTTCTTGTTTTCTTCAGGTAATTATTATTTTCTCTTGGCGGAGAATCAATTGTCCTTGATTCCAGCGGTTCAGCTTTTCTAATTTTCCTGTTATGTGACTTGTGTCTTTTGTGGTTGGAATTTGGATGGCACTGTAACCTGTTCTTTTTTCAAATTTATCTTGTCTAGATCAAAAAGTGTTCTAATTTCATGTAAGCTGCATATGAATAACATTTGAGAGACTGTGCAAGAGGTCTCTTCTTTGGTGAACGGTTTTGATGCCATTTGTTGCTGGAGTATGTCTATTCATATAAATGATAGCCGACTTTTGTTGTTAACTAATCAAAGGAGTTCAAAATTTATTTCAGTTGATGCTTTTATCACTCGCTGACATGCTTACAACATTGAAAGAACTAATGCTAATTATAGAAACTTCAATTATTTACCAAAATTATAGATTCCATAGACATTCTTCTTTTGCTCAAGTTACATCTTAAAATGAGGTATTTTCTGGGTAATTCAACCCTTAAGTTTTTCCCCCGTAACTTTATTAAGCACGTACTTCTAATTTTTGAAATGTTAGTGGTGCTTTGTTGCCATTAGACTAAATTTCAGGGCCAGTTCTGTAATTATCCATTTTTGTTAGGGGTTTCTTGTAATGCTAAATGTCTGAATTTGAACTTTGCAGGGATTCATTCATCTGATTCTTGCCATCATTGCCCTATGCAATCTGCTTGCATTTGTAATTACCAGAAGATGCTACTTTCTGTACTTGGCCCTTACTTTTGTGCTCTCAGTTGGAATATATCTGGGATATCACCGTATGCAGATGAGGAAAAAGTTCAATATAAAAGTAAGAGTTTCACTTCTGGAACTATTTCAAATTATACAACCTCAATACTCTTACATCATTCTTTAGTTGACATGGTCTGTTCACTTACACTAGTAAGCACAAAATTTTTGCACGTATATTTAAGCGACCTTAGCGATTTCATGGCATGAAAGAACCAAGCTGATTCAGAATAATGCCATACCCATTTTGATTTACGTTAGTCCCAGTCTCCAGTATATATTGATTTACCTTGTCTTTGACCTGTTCATTTAGAAATGCAAAATGTTCCCAGAATTCTCAGTAGTTCTTTAATTTATCCTAATATGATTTACCCTTAAACAATATTCTGTTGTATATATGTATAACCTTAGGTTCCAAATTTTGATATCACTCTTTTGATCATACAGGGCGATGATAGTTCTATCGACGACTGTATATACCATCTTATCTGCCCATGCTGCACTCTGTGTCAGGTCTGCCTTCATTTTAATATTAACTAGTAGTACCCGCGTGTTATACATGTGTTAGTTAAGAAACTTATATTTAAATTTAAAAAATAATGAAAAAAAGTATGTTTTAAATTTCAATTTCTTTTTGTAAACAAATTTAGTATTATTTATATTTAAAATGACAACTGTCCGAGTTACCTGTCTTATGTTATATTAACTTTTCTAATAGATAAATTTATTTGATAAGTAATTTTATATTTATAGATAATTTATTTTTTATTATAAAGATAAATATAATTATTTATTTATTTATTTATTTTATAACAACAATATTAATGTCAAATCGAAGCTCTTGATTTTCATATATTATATACGAAAATGTGATAACAAATACAAAAGTTATAAACTTTTAAATATATCTCCAATTTCAGTTAGTAAAATGTTTTATAATTTTAAAAGTCCTAATAGTCATAGATAGATAGAAGTTTGGATCTACATGCTTACTTCGAAACACCAAAAATTGACACATAGGATTACGAAACACCTTAATTTACGAAGCACCAGAAGTTGACACATATACTCGAGAAATTCTGCTTTTATATGAAGGGATATTTCTATCTACACGTGACCCCATTGATGTGATAACACATATTATTACACGCGAGTAACTGGTATTTTTTTAAGTTATCCACCAATAAGTTTTGAGAACTGGAGCAGGAATCAAGGACATTAGAGATGAATAATGTCCAAGATGGCACGTGGCATGGCCGAGGGGACACAATATGTATAGGAAGCTTATCCGAGGATACTAAACTTTGTTTGGAGTTGAGCCCACCTTTTGTTGTTTCAACAAAGTCTCCAGAATTGTTGAGCATGCAGAAAGCCTCGAAAAATGATAGCACGAATTTTACTACGACTCAAGTAAAGCATTCTTCTCTTTTGGTCCCACCGCTCGATTGAGGATCTTGTTTCAATACATTGCGCCACAAGACTAAGTTAAAAGTGCTCCGAGTTTTAGTTGGGGTGGTGAAATGTTGTTTGAAAATCTGGAAAAAATGAATAAATTTCCTTTGCACGAAAATATGGTGACCATGTCAAGATAATTGGTCCAGGCTTGATGTACATATGTAGATATTGTTAACTAGGGCTGCAAATGTATGTAGACTTTATAGAGTTTGTTGAGATGTAACTTATAAAGTATTTATTTTGCCTTTCTCCTTAAGATAAACATCTCACATTAAGTTGTTGAACTCTAAAATGTTAGCCATGTAATTAAGTTATAAAGTTCGTATAAAAATCACTTCTTGAACCCATGAGTTGTGAATTCATCTTACTATTTCTTTGCATTCTGTTAGAAAGTCATGTCAACTCAAATTTAACTTACAGAGATTTTGTTGAAGAAAATAAATTTCAATCTATATTAATTATATGTTTTCTTAATTTGGTTACCTTACTGTAGATGAAGCTGTTGATGGACTGACATTTTTCTTTTTGTTTCACTGAATTTTACTGGAAAATACCTTCACTAAAAGGAAAGACAACATTAAAGTTCAATTACAGGTTTCCCTTGGCTTGAAACCTTGACGATCTAAAATGTTACCACAACCATGTTCTTATAAAAGACAGTATAACATCTTTGAGTTACTTTATTCTTACTTATATGAAGCTACTTTCTTCAATCTGTAAAATGCCCATGGCCACTCATTTTCTTACAAACACCATAGTCACTCAAATAATTTAAACTTAGAAACATCTTTGTGTCTCTGTTTCTTATGATACTATCTGATGAGTGATTGATACTCCAATTTGTTATTTGTGGAGCAGAATCTCATTATGTTTACTTTGAGACGATCGATATCTGTTATTTCTGGAAAAGATCCTCAGTGACTTTACTTCTGCACATTTATCGAATTTGTTTCCTCGAAGGAAGACTGTTCCATGGACAATTTTTATCTGATTCACTGATTTTGTACCCTTTGGGATAAAGAGAACATGTTATGGGACCATAGCTTGCTTTAGCTGCTTTACAGCTTACTTATCAAACAATTTTTCATCTGGCATTTTGAATACGGGGTAGCCATAAATTGATATTGGATAACTTTTGGGGT